TGAGTTGGCTTGACTGAGAGCTATGAACTGTATGTGTGCCTGGGCATTCTGTACCGGAGAGCAGTCGGCACCAGGCAGGCTTTCCAAATGCTAATCACAGGGGTGAAAAGCAAGGGAGTAACAGAGGTTAACGGCATCTAATGCATTTATTAACCCTTTAGTGCCAGGGCCTGGGGAGGTCTGGCCACAATTACAGTGCCATGGAAATTCTATTATGCGACATTCCTGGACTTGGGGATTACTGCCAGTGACAGTTTTATGAGACTGCTGCAGGGACAAGGCTTATGAAGAGCCTAAAGAACAAGTTCCCTGGTTTTCCAGAATGACAGCAAAGCTACTGGTTTGTGGATGGTTTCTCCAGTATCCTCTTCACCTTCTCAAGATGAAAACCTTGTGGTACTGCGTTTTGGTGGTGGTGTTTCCCCCAACTCCGAGTCAGGCAGCTTCTCCCATAACCGCGTAACTATGAGTTAGCTGTTACGAAACCCGCTTTCATAAAAGGGATTAAATAATTCGTTTTTCAACATGCTGTAACAATGGTTAAAATTGACTTTTAGAAAAATTGAAATCCATTCTCTTCTCTTCTTTATCCCTGTCTCCTTTTTAAGAGATACGATATTTTAAAGCCACAAACTGTAAGGTTTGGTGCCTAGGTAGGTCTGGGCTGGCCAGGCTCTATGTTGGGCCCCTGCCTGTCCTCTTAATGAGCAGGGCTGTAGAGCTTGCAGACAGGACTTGTTCCATTATTACACCCCTGGTTTTACCCATTTAGGGCTCGGCAGTGGTGCTCTTCCAGTTTCTAACTTGCCTTATACCTTGCAAGATCTCAGAAGTTTTGGTTTTCTTTTTGTTTCTTTAATTTTCCTGGGACAGTCCCAATTTTCATCAACGGAGGCAATGTTTAAAATATGTAAACACTCTTTGCAATAGTTGAATGTGAGAGATGCCCTATAATTTTATCTTCTTGCGTTTATCAGGCCTGACTAGCAGGACAGCGATAGCTTGATGTTTTAAAAAAGGCTCAGGATAAAAGCCTTTAAAATGTGGAAACAGCAGGTTGCTCAGGCTTCTACAAGGGGCTTTAAGAGCCAGATTTTCCTAAGTGGACTTTGGATCTGCATAGGTAGATTTCTGACTCTCGGTGGTCACCCGAGGGGTTCAGACTGAATACAGGACTTATAAGCATGCCGCCAGCTAGACATACGTAGGTGTGAATCCCCAGGCTCTGCCCCTCCATCTGCGGCTTACGAACCCTTAGAGTCACTGGACACCCAGTTGATGCCACTCAGTCCAAGCAGCAGACCCACTGGCCCTCATTTTGTAATATATACCCCAGGTTTGGTGTAGGATTTTAAAAGATCTCATGTCTATGTGCAACCCTTCGATTCTTTTACCCAGGTGCTGCCTGCTATTCCAACAACCACTAACATCTGTTCTTTGCCTTCTAATCACACTCACAGGTGTTAGTGTGGTTCATGCAAAGTTCTGGCGGAACTGGGGGGCTGCTCTTCTTTGCCTCTGCAGTTCTGGGGGGTTTCCCGGCCCCCCAGACCTCTCAATGGGAAGCAGTGTTAATACGCTATGTAGGCAGAGGCTTTTGAGGCCAGTGTGCGTGGACCGCTAAGCCTCTGGAGTGCTAGGTGCTTCTGCTGGGTTAGGAAAAGGTTCGACAGGAGAGAAGGCATTTTCTCAGAGCCTTTGCAGAGGCCTGGTGGTGCACGGTTACATTCACTCAGCGGTTCGTCCTGTTCTGCCCAGCAGAATGGTTCTCAAGGCCAGATGAGCTTGGAGCTGCTGCTTCCACCTTAAGTAAAGCCAGTGGAGATACAGGGAGACAAAGCCAGAGGTTGATAATTTGCTTTAGATACAGGCCAACAGGATGCCTGCTTTGGGGGAAGAAGATCCCAGAGCCTTCACAGACTTGGAGCTGGTCTCAATGTATTTTCTTGTGTGATCAAACAGTCATCCCAGCCATTCTCAGATGGGAGGCAAGAGCATGTCTACCCGATTGTATGACTCTAATCCTGTACAAAGTCGAGCTCTCAGTGACCACTGAGGACCAGAATCTACCTATGTTGATGTAGAGTCCACTTAAGAAAATTGGTTAAGATAGAGACCTTTTCTAGTCCATTGGTGGAAGCCCCCTTTACAATCGTGTAATAGATGGGCATTTTACTAGTACATTAACAGGTCCCTGAAGTGACTAAGTGTAGCTAGTGAGTCTCTCAGATGGTATAGATGATGAGTGATACACTGCACGCTGGTGCTAATCATATAGAACAAAGTAGGAGGAGGCCTACCAGCCCTTGGATGTCTTAGAGGGCACTGCAGTCTAGGACACTGAGGTGGAGCTTAGCTGTGACCACAGCACAGAATTGAAGAAATAACGTGGCCCAGACTAGAAGTCAGGCTGCCGTCTCTGCACGTTTTAGTGAACTTCTTAGTTATGCAAAAGCTCTTAATGAGAGTTGTCTTTTGTAGATTACCGCCTAGAAAAGACAGAATGTGATGTTTTAGGGCCATTTTGGTGTCTGGCACAATTCCAACCTTGAACAGAAATAAAATGTGCAAAGTTCTACATATTATTCTCTACAGGTTACAATGCAATGGACCAGATTTGCTATTAATATGGATTAAAAGTAGGCTTTTGAGTAAGGCTCAATTCCTCTTCTGATTTGCCCTCTGATCTTCTTATACATAACATTTAGTGACCTTTGAATAGCCCAGGGATGCTTCACAGTGTCTTTTTCTTGACGCCTGTTTAAACGTTTCTATTTCATATTCACAGCGGGCATATGCAAATAGAGGTAAAGGTTATGACACCTCCCACGTAGCATTATGGTCAATAAATTATTCCTTGGGTGAACATGCTATCATTTCAGGCTAGCACGTCTTCAACAAGTTGCAAACGTTGTCCTGCAGTAGGCAGCCTGCCAGGGCATTCCCACAGAGCTGGTTGCCCAGATACTCCTAGATTCAGGTGTTTTGCTTAACCAGGGTCATCCTGTCGACAAATGAGTTCTTGGTCTTTCGACGCCAAAGGGCTCCTAGTTTCAGGGGGAGGGGGCTATGGGAGGGATTCTTTGTGTGGCTTTTGGGGGCAGGGGGAGCATGAAGACCCAAGCATGCCAGGGTTGCCTGGGAGAAACTGTAAAGCAGGAAAGAGCACAGTTCCATTCAGGAGTTTCAGAGACTTATCTAAATCTTGACTCTAAAGTAGTTCACTGTGTGCCCTTGGATAAGTCACTTAACTTCTCTGCACTCTAATTTGTTTTCCTTTACAAAACAAGAGAGCTGCACTGGGTTAGCAGTTTTTATTGTAATTGTTTGAGCAATGTAACCTTCCCTCCACCTCAGTTCTCAGGTAGAAACCCAGTGGAAACTTGCTTCATTTGTGAGGAAATAGGGAGCTTAAAGCCCTCACAGCTCAGGAACTTGTAACTGCCCTAAAGCAGTTTTCAATAAAATATGTATTTATTTGTATTGCATAGGTAATGTACATGTATTTTTTTAAAACATCTTTATTGGAGTATAATTGCTTTACAATGGTGTGTTAGTTTCTGCTTTATAACAAAGTGAAACAGTTATACATATACATATGTCCCCATATCTCTTCCCCCTTGTGTCTCCCTCCCTCCCACCCTCCCTATCCCACCCCTTTAGGTGAACAGTATGGAGGTTCCTTAAAAAACTAAAAATAGAACTACCATATGACCCAGCAATCCCACTACTGGGCATATATCCTGAGAAAAACATAATTCAAAAAGAGACATGTACCACAATGTTCACTGCAGCACTATTTACAATAGCCAGAATATGGCACCAACCTAAGTGTCCATCGACAGATGAATGGATAAAGAAGACGTGGCACATACATACAATGGAGTATTACTCAGCCATAAAAAGAAACGAAATTGAGTTATTTGTCGTGAGGTAGATGGACCTAGAGTCTGTCCTACAGAGTGAAGTAAGTCAGAAAGAGAAAAACAAATACCGTATGCTAACACATATATATGGATTCTAAAAAAAAAAAAAAAAAAAGGTCATGAAGAACCTAGGGGCAAGACGGGAATAAAGACACAGACCTACTAGAGAATGGACTTGAGGGTACGGGGAGGGGGAAGGGTAAGCTGGGACAAAGTGAGAGAGTGGCATGGACATATATACACTACCAAACGTAAAATAGATAGCCAGTGGGAAGCAACCCCATAGCACAGGGAGATCAGCTCGGTGCTTTGTGACCACCTAAAGCAGTTTTAAGATGGATGGATCTGGGGTCCGTAATGACCTTCACGATTCCTGAAGGGGACCTGTCTGAAAGAGTCCCTGCCCTGTGCCTTAGCCCCCAAGCACTGAGTGGTTTTCCCACTAGAGGGCAGCCACATGAGCCCCGGACCACATCCGTTTTTGTCATATCACCGTATGCCCAGTGCTGGAAAATAGCCTGGTAAGTGTTTGTGGACTGGAACAACTAATAAACAAATGAACAAACACACAAGCTTCAGGAAGACCTATCTTTATATTACGAATAAATGTGGATTTTTATTGCACCATTTTTACCTAGAAGGCAGTTCCTAAACATTAACTTTCAGAACTATAAATGAGTTCAAAATGTAAATGACTTCAAAATTTTTTCTTTTGTAACCTGTGCAGTGACTTTGAAATGAGGTGGGTACAAACTGAGATGTACTATGTCAAACACACCAAATTTGGAAGATTTAGTATGAAAATAAAAGAATGTAAAGTATCTCGTTAATCATCTTTTATATTGGTTACATGTTGAAATGGTAATATATTGAGTTAAAGAAAATGTGATTAAAATTTTCTTCACCTGTTATCACTTACGTGGTTAGGAGAAAAATTTAAGTTATATGTGGGCTCACAGTTGTGGCTCACATATTTCTGTAAATGGCACGGTCCTAGACAGTCAATCATCAGTAATTACTCTTGCATAGTATGTATGACTGATTTTGTGTGTGTGCGTTTTTGTCTCTTTCCAGGCACAGAAGCTGAAATCCAATATGTCGGGAAGTCCACACCTCTGTCTTTCTGATGTAAGTTGTTTCTTTCTGAGTCTCCCTGCATTTACAGAAACAGAGCCTTTGGGACCCTGGAACAGGATATGATGTGAAGGGCTCAAAGACAACAAGGTTTCAGGTCCAGAAAAAATCTAAGTCACCCTCAATGTCCCTCTGCCGTTTGAGCCAGGTGCAGTCTTCAGATCCTAGTGCCCAAAGTGAGAACCAAGTGTGGACCCCAGGATCCTCATCTCAGAACTGGACCAGCACAAATACCATTGTCCTAGTACCATGATAATCTCTGTGGTCACAGTCACATAGACTTATCTGGCACAAAGAGACATAACAACTCTCACCCCTTACCAGATGTCCTTTGACCTCCACAGCAACCCAGAAGTAGCCAAGGCGGGGCCGCATTACACTCCCCAATCTACAAGTGAGAGGGTGGTTGATTCCGTCACGATCATAGCTCATTGTGGTGGGATGTGGCATAATGGGATTGAGCGGGTGCTAGGGATGGGGATGAAGGAATCAATCCTGGGGAAGGACAGCTGTGCTGACTGGGAATTTGGGAGCCTGGGCTTTGGTCGGGACTCTCTGAAAAGCAGGGCGAGATCCTTCATCTATGAAGCCCATGGTTGAACCAGCCAGTGGAGGGAAAGGCTACTGCCTTCTCTGCCAGTCTCCGATGCGATTTGTGACCCATCTCTGCATGAACTCATACTTGCTTGGGCAAGTTTCCCAAGATGATTCTTCCTGCCCTCCTTCATGATGGAGAGAGAGAGCAAGCATCCCTCCTCGGTCACTGGTACCCAGAAGGAGAATGGTTCCATGTTGCACTGTTGCTGGGGGACCTTGGGAGTGGGCGTAAAATCTCGGGTCAGCTTTGGTGAGCAGTGAGAGAGAAAGAGTGCGGTAAAAATATGCCTTGATAGAACGAACACATGCAGTCGGTGATAATGAAAACATTCTTTCTTACAGCGTGATTACGAAAAGGATGGTCTTGCTGGGGCTTCCAGCCACATAACCACAAAATCAGTGGCTGCCTCTCCAAGCTGCAGTCTGAGCCCACTGCTGGTCCTGGTGGTAACTGCCCTGTCCACCCTGTTATCTTTATCTTTGGCTGACACATCGTAGCTGCATTTAAAAAACAATATGGACATGTAAAAAGACAAAACCCAAGTTATCTGTTTCCTGTCCTCTTGTATATCTGAAATTCCAGTTTTAGGGACTCAGTTGAGACACTGCTAAAACAGTTTCATCCAACTGGAACTTTTTTCTTTCTTTTTTTTTTTTTTTTCTAAGAAAGCTTCTTGTGATCCTTAGGGCTTATATGGGATCCCCGATACAGTGCTACATTCCAAACTCAGAAGGCTTTGGGGCATGCTGTATTGTAAGGGGACAGTTTGTTGATTTGGCTGTAAAGCAAACTGGGGCCATGTTTTTCAAGAGGACGATGAGGATGGTGATTTTAACAATTTAACTCTGGCCTTCACTAGCTAGAGAAGGAGTTGGTATTTCTAAAGAATCTTCCATATCTCATGTAATAGGTTTTATTTCTGATGACATGACTGCAGCGGTACATGGATGCCAGGTTTTTTTGGTCACAAAGTGAAGATCCTCATCAAGACAATTTGATGGACTTTGTGCAAACAGGCTTGTACCAATGTTCACTTTTCTATATGTACTAGTATTTTCCGTGCTAAGTTTATGTACTGTAAACAGTTCTTCACTCTCCTACAAAAACAAAAAATACCTGTCACATCCCAGTGTCGTGTCTGTCTTCTAGTCAAAATAGAGAGAGTGGCCATGAGACTTCACAGAACCTTGACCACTGAGACATTTTCCTAAGCCTTACCTGAGTGAGAAGCCCTTAAACTAACAAGGGTCAAATATAGCTGAAGCATCATTCCAATACTCTTTACACGCATGAGGTTATATGTAGAAAAAGAATTTTACTACTAAATGATTTCAACTACTGGCTTTCTATATTTTGAAAGTAATGACATTGTCTTCATTGTTTTTACTGGTGGTTTAATACAAAATTCACGGAGCTTGTTTTCCTCTCATAAGTAGCGTTAACTCCGCTGTTCACGAAGACAGCTCTTCAAAAGCGGGCTCTGCATCACGTTATTGTGGACAGGCAGGAGGACACAGAGCAGGCAAGCGTTGTCTTTTATCATTTCTTGAAACGCAAGCGTGCATACCTGTGAGGAAACCAGCAGCCGCTCGTAAATGTTCTACAATGTCCAGTGGCACCCTTGCCAGTTGACACAGACCAGTACCTTGGTGTTCATGTTACTTGACTGGGACGGGGGTTGGGACTTGCTGCCCTTTCTTCTGAAGCAGATCCATGCCAGGGTACACAGTTCTTTTCCTAAGGATTGTCTTGACTCCCATCTGTCATGGCTTGGCTGCTGTGTAGAGCAGTTTGGTCTGAAGGTCATGGGGAGTCTGCTTGCGCCGTGTTCTGTGTCCTCCATGACAGACTGTGACTGACTCTGCAAAAAAGAGAAAAGGTTTGTGGATCCAGAGGGTCACGAATAAGGTCTGTGGAGCTGAGTTGATTGGCACAGAGTCACAGAACAAAACAGGACTCTGGATATAAGGCATTTGGCTTGTTGCTGCACGTCCTCTTCTATCGTTCTTTTCCTTAAACGAATAGACTCAAAAGTGCACTTTTGAAGTCTGGTTGAGATGGTGAGATTCGAAATCTACAAGGATCGAGTGCTAGTAGCCATGTTTCTTTGAAACTGAATAGAGGCGAGGAGATTCCACCCAATAGAGTATTGGAAGCGTTCGCTTTCTTCCTATATCAGTAGAGGGGTGGAGGGGGGAGACCCACAGTGCACATTACATCCTGATTCCCTTTGCCCATAGATGTTTGCCTTGTAAGAATTAATCAGATTACTAGGGTGGGAAATCTATTAAACCCAAGATGAAGGCATAGCCTTTTAGCTCTATTGGTGTTTGAAGTACATTTATATCCAAATGTTAATAAACATAAATGTATATACTAAGTACCGAGTTTTTTCACTTCAAAATGTTTTCAAGGGGAACTCATCAAACAAATTCAATTAGTGAAAGGTTTCCTAAAGACTCTTCCTTTGAATAAACACATTAAACATGTTGAAATACTTGGAATTCCAGTCATCTGTGAAAGCATATCTCTTACAGAGCATATTTTGTTTTAATTAAGGTATCTCTGTGTATCTACATTGGACTAATTGCATAGAGGTCTGATTCTATGTAATCTACTGTAGAAAGCTATTGATTACCTCTGTAATAAACAGCAGCTCTAATTAGCTTCAGATGACCAAAGAGGAAATAGGAGTTATCAGAGCTAACAAGAGTGGCTTTCAGTGAAGAACCATGGATGTGCAGCACATAAATTAAATTTTGAAAAGCCTCATCTTTTCACCAACACAGATCTCATTTTTCTTCAGAGATAGAAGCATAGGAGAGTTACCAAACCGTCAATTTGAAAATAAATTACTGCTTAAGTAAACAGAGGGAAGGATGTTCCATGGCAACTTGCTAGAGAGATTCTTATAAAATCATGCCAAGCAAGTGTTTCTGCCATTCGGGGTGATCTCAGTTTAACACGGTGCCCCAGAAACACCATCATTTGCCCAAGTACTGGAGCAGGCAAAACCTTTTACCTATCCAGCTTCCTCTGGCAGTGCTAAAAGCAAAAAATGGTTCACTACTTCCTGTCCTGCAGGCCCTGCATGGAAAGTGCCACCAAAATACAAGGGCTGTCTGCTGAGGTTTGGGCCTGTTGGAGAAGGCATCTCATTGTAGTTGATTTTGGCAAACAAAAACAGTAACTTACATCCATGGAGACCGTGGCTCCCAAATCAAGTCTAGCTATGCTCTACTCATTTCAGAGAAAAAAAGGCAAGATTGCCAAACCGATTAGAAGCACATTTTCAGTCCCCTTGATGTTGAATATATTTGACCGAGAGGTGTTTGAGTATCTTTTTAAATAGAGCACACGAAGGAAGAAGGGCACAGTAAGGAGAGGGAATTCAGAATGCCACCTGAATATATTTTTCCATATCTGGTTTTTTTCAAGCCTCTAGTAAAAAAAAGTATAAGTTAAGAATGACATAGATTATTTTTCATTAAGTATAGCAAACTGTATGCAAAGTGTGAAAGGAGTGTGGTTTTCCATTAAAAAAATTTTTTTAAACGATCCTTTATTCTGTAGTAAAAAATGTTTTAGAAGCTACTTCTTCAAGGAAAACAAATACAGGACAGGGCTCCACCAGAGCCGCTGTGGCCTTTGATCTAGTCTACATTAAGATTGTTTCTATCTTGCACATGCTCCGAGGATGGGTTGTCTCCAGCTGCATCCCCATTTCCCACCTGCCTCTTTGTACTCTGAATCAGACACTCCCAAACACTCCATCTGCTGAGCTAGGAAAGTGGGAGAGAGGAAGCATTTCTAAATCAGTGTTAAGTGCTTGGGAAAAGACATGTAAGAACAGTGAGAGTTTATATAATTAGCAAATTCTGTTCTTAGAATCCAGCAAAAATGTATTTCTGTTGTTATTATTTACAAAACAGTGGCCTCGGAGGAGCTGTCTTTTGGAAAATAAGTTTTCATTCATGTCGTCAGGCATGCACGACTTACTTGAGTCAATAAACTGCGGGCCAGAAAATGACCTGCTTAAATGAATGCACATTTTCTCATTCTCTTTCAAGCTGTTCTTGAGCTCTTAGATTCATACCCCCACGATCTTTGTTGCTTCTGCTCTTTGATAAAACAAATGAGACCATGTCAGACCCATCGTTTCAAGAAAGACCGAAAAGCAATGACAACACACAGGAGTCAGTTACCAATGGCCTGAACATGATGTTGGCCAAAGTGCCTGTCTGCACTGAGTTCGGGGAGTTTGAAGAGATGAGGCAAAATCAAGGTACCGCAAGAGACCACGTGCCCTTGGTGAATGGAGCATGCAGTCTGGTCCAAACAGAAAACTTGTCCCAACAAAACACCCAGAGTTTCTTGAATTAGACACCAGTGCCTTTGTAGGAAGCATGCCAGAGCTAATATCTGGAGGGCAGAGGAAGGAGTTTCTTTTCAGAAATTCTGAAACAGCAAAGCAGCTGGGAATTTGGTTAGGTATCCTTACAAGCTATGTTTTTCTCTCATCCCTGAGATAAGCATCTCGTGTGTAGATCTGATACCTCTTGACTTTGACACAGCTTTTATTCTCAAGTGACCATTTATTTGACCTCTGTTGTCTAGAATTCTTCAAGACAACTGTACCTCTGAAATATATTCTCACTGCAGAGGCCTTAAATCTGTGGGTTTTGCCACCGCCTCCATCCTGGGATGTATTCAGTGGGACATTTTCATTTCCCAAGGATCGTTATCTTAAGATATTAGCGGATTCCCTTCTCTCGCATATCGATTATTGATAACCCCAGTCCCCACCCTTGTTTCTTGTTGCCCGAGTATTTAACAGAGTCCCTTCCCATCAATTCTTCATCGTAATCATTCTAAATTTAATCCTACCCAAATTCATTCTTGTTCTGTCAGATGCCCATCCTGCACGTAACCCTGGCTTTTTGAAGACAGAGAAGTCTCTAAGGAGCCAGGCGATCTGAAGAGGATGCTAATCCCAGAGTAGAAAGTTCATCCATCCAGCCCTCCCCTGAGCTCCCCCTTCTTAGCTCTGGGATTGTCTTGTCTCCTGCCTCCTCGCCAAGCATCCCTTTGTAGTTCCCAGAGCTCTCTGACGAGCTTCTCCTCCCTCCCGGAGACAGCCTGGGTCTTTCAGCGGGATGCACCACCTGCACTCCTGATTGTTCTGAGACCCAGCCCAGAGGGGTGGGGAAGGCACGCCAGCCCTGTTTCAATAAACTGCTTGCAGAGAACCGCAGCCTGTAACAGTCATCGAGCTCCCAGCCCCCTGAGGTCTCCAGGCTCATTTGACCAGCGCAGCTGCGACTTCGGCGGTCTGCCTCTGGCAGGTGCCCATAGCAGCATCTTGTTCCACTGCCACAGGGAATTTATTTTTGCTCAAGGGCAGCTGCCAAACCCAGCACCAGCATCAATAGAAGGTTTTCTCTGATTTTCTTCTCTTCATCCCAGGTCCGGCTGTCTTACCAATCCCCACTTTTCGTTTTGCAGGACGTGCCAAAAGACTGGCCGGAGACCATCAGTCCCTTTCTTCTTTTGAACCTCTCTTCCCGCTCACCCTAACAGCTTCCCTAGCAGAAAGCATGACCCATAGTAGGAAATTAAACACTTCTGGGTGAATGAAAAACTTTAGGACATTGAAGGGTTTCATTCTGAAATACAGTAGCAAGGACTGGCCCATTTGCATCATCTTACGGCACTGAGCTGTTATGCATTGGTGCTGAAGGTGTCCTCCTGAGGTTATTGAGGGTGACCTGGGAGAAAGGGTGAAAAAAAGTGTTAGGATCAATGCGGCTTTGTCTGATGCATTCCCTACCGAGAGGTGGGAAACTAGCATTTGTCCCCAGAAGAGCTGAGCATGACCAGCCAGTCCCAGCAGGCTCATGGCATCCACCAGGAAGGACAGGACCCCAAATGGGGTAGACTTTGTGGGAAATTAGCCAGTGAGTCTACTGATGTTTTAATCTGCCTCAAGTGCAGGATGCTGGCAAGAAAGATGGACCACCCTGCCAGTCCTGACCAACCCCAGGGATGCAGCCTCCGCCAGCATCCTGAGAAGTGAACTCAGGTGCTTAACAATTCAGCACACTTATGGAACATCTACTGTACTTGAATGAAGCTTCATTTGGAGCCGAAGCTCCCGCACGAGTAACTTGAGAATATAGGGCCCTTTGACAGCAGCTTAGGGGAACAACCGTCGTTTCCAGATTGGCAGAATCCTTCACTTTGATATCCTTCGGAGAATCTAAATTCTCTTTA